TCTGACTCTTGGTTTGGGCTCAGGTCAGTATCTCACGGTTTGTGAGTTTGAGCCCTGCATCAGAGGCTGTCAGTGTGGAGCCTGCTAGGGATTCTCTCCCTCTCTCTCTACCTCTCTCTCTCTCTCTCTCTCTCTCTGTCTCCCTCTCTCTCTGCCTCCCTCTCTCTCTCTCTCTCCGCCACTCCCCTGCTCACACGCTGTCTCCCTCAAAAATAAATAAAGCGTTAAAAACATTTAAAAAAAACTTCAAAGTCATAATGGGGAAAATGTGACATTTTGATTTGGAAATGAAAAGTTCTCAGTACCAGTACTTGCCATTAAACAAAGTTAAAGAGTGATGAACTGAAAAAAATTATATGTTGGATTACTGTCCAAGCCAAGAGCTCTTCTATATCAAGAAAAGGAAACTGAGCAAACACAATTTACAGTTCCTTGGCTATCATATTTAAAATGGCCACACCAGCCATACAATGTTCCTCACCCCCTTGCCCTGCTTTTTCTCTAACGCTTACCTTCTGACATACTCTATGCCTTACTTATTTCGGTTTTTGTTTCTCCCTATCAAAACTCCCTATAAGCTCTGTGAAGACAGAGTTTTTAGGTAAATGTTTATTTTATTGAGGAACAGTGGTAAAAGCCAAGAATTTGAAAACAATCTCTTTCCTCAAAGCATTTTTAAAGCTGTAGCTGAGGAAAAATGTCTGATTAGGGAACTGAATAGACAGTAGTACATTTATTTGGTGAAATACTTACACAGTAGAATATTATTTGGTTTTATTTTACTCTGATAGGAGAAAATATCAATGACATGTTAAATGAAAACAGGAAATTGCAGACCTACCTACACTCTGATTTTTTGTAAAAAAAGAACAAAAATTGTTTACAGAGCCAATGGTTTTTAAACTTACAGTATGACTTGTTTAGACCCAAAGCCTATCACCTCATCTGTCATATTCCATTTTTTCTGTTCCTATAGTGTTCCATGCCCATTAGGCATTATAACACCAAGTAGCCATAAATACTTGGCCGTGGCTTGGGATCAGCCCCTTCCTCACAAATACACACCGGAAGATAGCATGGCAGTGTATTTTACTTATTTTTATTCACTTATTTTTTTTGGTCCTGTTAGATCATCCACTATGGTTAATGAATGTCACCAATCTCATTTTATTGATCAGAGGGAAGAAAGCACATTGTATTGTTTGCCAGGGCTTTCGGCTTTCATGACCCAGATTGGGTGGCTTAAACAACAGAAATTTATTTTCTCACACATCTGGATGCTAGAAGTGTGAGGTCAAGTTGTCAGCAGAGTTGACTTCATCCAGGGCCTCTCTCCTGGCCGTCTTCCCTCTGTGTGTGCCTGTGTCCTGATTTGCTCTTCTTATAAGGACACCAGTTACTGGATTAGGATTCACCCTGATGACCTCATTTTAGCTTCATTATGTCTCTTGAGACTGTGTCTCCAATACAGTCCTATTCTGAGGTACTGGCTGTTAGAGCTTCAATATAGGAATTTGGGGGGAGCACAGTTCGGCCCATGACATGCCTTATGCTGGGAGCTCTCTTCCTTCAGAGAGAGGGAGGGGCGCTGGCCCCGCTGAAGCTTCAGCCTTCTGACTTTGGTCCGTCCCACGCTCCTCCTAGGTGAGCCTGCCTACGGCAGAGATCGACTGCAGCCTGGCAGAGTACATTGACATGATCTGTGGTAAGTTCCCCCATCCCTTCCCGGTTCCGTTTCTGGATGAATACACTGTGGGCTTTTGAAAAGGCTTGTTTACTCTCGGAAGACAGCATCTTGAGTTATGGCCCTCGCTTTAAGCCAGTTTACTATTTGGCAGCATTGAAGGTGGTATTTGGGCTTAGCTGACTGCCTGCCAGGTGTTTAACCCCCAGAGGCATAGTAACGCGTCCCATCTGGGAGGGGCTTGGCTATTCTAAACAGATAATTCCCGGTTTTGTTTGGTTCTGCTCATGGGAGTTCTTGATTTCAGCCATCCTCGACATCCCTGTCTACAAGAGTCGGATTCAGTCCCTACACCTGCTCTTTTCTCTCTACTCGGAATTCAAGAACTCACAGGTGAGGCTAGCATTAGAAAGTGCTTTAAGCTGTAGCGAGATCACTATAGTCTCCACTCCTCCGAGTTGGCTGTGATGTGTCCTTTGACAAGGGAAGGATCCTTTGACAAGGATGTTTCTGCTGGAGTTACCATCACCCTTCTCTGTCATTAAAAGAGCAGCAAGCAAGGAGGGTTGGGCTTTCACAGGAAGGCAGGCGGAATGGCTGTGGGCCTTTGGCGTGGCCAGGCTTGTGAGGGTCTACCAAGGACACTCCTTGTGGGAGAACCATGTGGCCTAACGGATGGAAGCAGGACAGAAGGAGAGGGGTTCATCTTTGAAGGAGGCGGGGCAGATTTCTAGCTGTTTTTCAAAAACAGCACCAAGGAATTGTTCTGAAATGGAACCTAGAAAAAACTGGAGCATTACGGGTGGTGAAGAGGTTAGTTCTTGCTCAGATATAGCAGCCAACGTACCCAACTCCGTGTACCCTCTCCTCTTTCCTCACAGCATTTTAAAGCTCTAGCTGAAGGCAAGAAAGCATTCACCCCTCCATCCAACTCCGCCTCCCAAGCTGGAGATGCAGAGACATTGATCTTCAGCTGAGACACCCCCCCAGGTCACGCTGTTGCAAGGCTGTGCTGGCTGAAGAGAGATGGCCGTCAGCCACGTGGCGTCCTTGCCTGACTCAGGGACGTGTGCTCCCTGCTGCCCTCTCTACCAGAAAGTACAGTGCACGTTCCTTAAATGGCTTCTGCCTGTCTCAGGTTTCCTTCCCACGGGAATTATGCATCTATGCCATGGTGGGGATTTGAGTTAGAACAGAAGGATTGGAATGTCTGGGATTCCAGGGTGCTCAGGTTGGGAGGGAAGCTTAAAAGATGTTCTTTTTGAGATAGCGATGGAATTATTTTCTTTCATTCTTCAAGTTAGTTGGCAAAGATTTTGCAAATAAAATGCTGTATCTTTCAGGTTGTCCTGCTGTTCTGTAATGGGAAAGAGAAAAGACGGGCTCCTAGTGGCTCAGTCAAGCATCCAACTCCTGATTTTGGGTCCGATCATGATCTCATGGTTTGTGAGATGGAGCCCCATGTCAGGCTCTGCGCTGACGGTGTGGAGCCTGCTTGGGATTCTCTCTCTCCTTGTCTCTTGCCCTCCCTGACTTGCGAGTGCCCTCTCTCAAAATAAGTAAATACACATTTAAAAAGAAAAAGACAGGGGCGCCTATGTGGCTTAGTTGGTTAAGCGTCCGACTTGGGCTCAGGTCATGATCTCGTGGTTTGTGAGTTTGAGCCCGTGTTGGGCTCTGTGCTGACAGCTCAGAGCCTGGAGTCTGCTTTGGATTCTGTGTCTCCCTCTCTCTCTGCCCCTCCCCCATTTGCATTCTGTCCTCTGTCTCTCTCTCTCTCTCTCTCTCTCAAAGTAAACCAAAAAGAAAAGAAAAGAAAAGAAAAAGACAGACTGAGCACCAGGCAGAGATAAGGGACCAGGCCTAGTAATGGCATTAAGTGAATAGCGGCTTCAGCAAATCAGCTTGTGAAATAAAATCAAATCCCAGTTCTCCAGGGTTGGCAGTAGAGGGCGGTTATTTTCTCCCGGAACTTCCTTTCTCTAGGGGTCTCTCACCAGTGACTGCTGCCTGCCTTACCTGCCTGTCTAGCTCCAGACCTGTCTGGTTGTGGTCTCCAGAGAGCCTAGCTGTTGCACAGTGCAGGTGGGAGGTGACTGTGCCTTGGACCGGGGTGAAAGCAGTGGTGGTAAAGATGGACCGATTCAGGAAATGATTTGGCAGCTATGTCAGCCAAGCTCCAGTCAGGAAGTCAGAAACCACACTAGCTACTTCTGACAGAGGGTGCTAAATGTGGGACATTGGTCACAGAGTGTTGGAAGGCCCGCGGAGCAAAAGGGAGAAGGGAGAGCGTGCCGCAGGAAGAAGCGGTTCGAGGGGAGGCGTCCACCGCAGGTGCCGGAAGCAGAAGGGATCCTGCAGTGGTCTTGATGGGCTGCGAGGGTGCCACACTCAGGCACCGAAGTGTGCACACCGTCCCCTCACTACTACGGCAACCGTGAGCGACGGCTGCTCCTTCCTTTCTCTGCCTTCTGTCTGGCTGGTGCCTCCCATTGGCGGAGATCAGCAGCCGGCAAGGGGATGCGGGAAGCCCGGCAGCACGAGACCTCACAGAAGGGAGGGGTGGGGTGAGAGGCAACAGAGGGAGAAACAGCAGGGGTAGAACCGACAGAACTTGCTGATAGACTGGATGTGGGGGTGCAAGCAAAGGAATCAGGGATGACCCCCAGGCATTTTGGCTTGAGCAGCTGAAGGGATAAAGGAGCTACGGACGGATATGGGGGGAAGTGGGGCAGGAATTGATTGCGGGGAGAATTACAGTAAAATGCTACACCGTCAGGGGCGCCTGGGTGGCTCAGTCGGTTGAGCGTCTGACTCCGGTCGTGATCTCACGGTTTGTGGGATCAAGCCCCGTGTTGGGCTCTGCACTGACAGTGTGGAGCCTGCTTGGGATTCCCTCTCTCCCTCTCTCTCTGCCCCTCCCCCACTCGCATGTGCGCGTGCTCTCTTTCAAAATAAATAAATAAACTTAAAAAGATGCTACACCGTCAGCCTAATACATATACAATAAACACACAGGAGGGAAATTGTTTCTGACCGACTCTTAAACCAAGTGTGATGTTCACATCATGCTTCAATTTGAGGAGCAGGAACTTTTGTGCTCAGGCCTCGCTTTGACATCATACTGGAACCCCAGGGGCTCTGCTCTCAACTGGATATCCCCAATATTCTCATTTAACTCATAGGGAAAAAAAAAACCCAAAGTATGATAGTAACTCAAATTCTCCACTACGTTTTCAGGGAACATTCAGATTGCCTTCTTTGGCTAGAGCTAACACTTAGCACTAATGAAAACGGTTGAATCTTGTGATCCACAGTAGTTACGTTCTATAAAGCTACCACAAACACCCAATTAGCAAATACTGAACCATCGCTCCTAGGGGAAATATGAGATTAGGCTTCTATGTGCCCCGGTCATAACATTTTCATCAACCAGCCATTGATTCATTGAACTCACAGCCAGGAGCACTGGAAATCATGCTGTACTGAAGTTTATCTAACACACTTTCTCCGTGAGCCACATGGTGGCCTTACTACACATAGGAACACTAGACAGCACCTCACTGCTATGCTTGGGGGTCATTTTAAATGTTTGTATTTTTATTTTTGAGAGCGAGAGAAAGCACATGAGCAAGGGAGAGGCAGAGAGGGGCGGAGGACCCGAAGCAAGCTCTCTGCTGACAGCAGACAACGAGATGAGGGGCTTGAAATCACAAACCGTGAGCTCATGACCTGAGCCGAAGTCACTTAACTGACCGAGCCACCCAGGCGCCCCTGCTTGCAGGTCATTTTAAATAGCAAAATCACCAACAATAAGCAGAAAATGTAGCAATACATAGAAAGTGCACAGAGCACTTGTTTCCAGTATGACAGCTGAAACCAGAAAGCAGAACGTCACCTTTCTCCGCCTCAGCATGGAAGGTAGGTGTCAGGTGACTTACATTTATCACTGCTCTGAGCATGTCTGCAAATAACCGTGAAAACACTACAAGTATTGATTGGGGATTGCAAGCATATTTTAGTAAGCAAGTGGATTCACAAAGGCAGAATCTACAAATAACAAGGCTCAAGTGTACTTCCTGCCAAAGTCACTGTTCACGCATGGCCTTAGCTTACCTCACGCTCCAGCACAGCCCTCCTAGACGTTGCTGAGTTGTGGGCTCCTCTCCTCCTCAACACCTGTTGTTACTCCCTTCTGGCTCCTTGCTCTGTGGACCTAGAAAAAAATCCGGTAACTTCTTTACCTCAGTTAACCTAGCTATGACACAGTTATCATAGTGGCACCTGGGTGGCCCGGTCAGTTAAGCGTCCGACTCTTGATTTCAGCTCAGATCATGATCTCATGGTGCATGGGATCAAGCCCCGCATCAGTCTCTGCACTAACAGTGTGGAGCCTGCTTGGGATTCCCTCTCTCCCGCTCTCTGCCCCTTTCCCCCTCCCGCACATGCTCTCTCTCTCAAAATAAACAAATAAACATTAAAAAAATAAGTAAAAGGAAACAGTTACAACAAACACTAATTAACTCTTAGGCTCGCCCTGTGGGTAAAACTATGTGAAAAGATGAAGTGCCACAAAATGTAAGATGTAGTAACTGTGTTACTAAGTATAAATTTTCAACTAGGCCTCTTGAGACTGCATTTGGCTGCTTTCTCCCTACCTCAAGATCCTCATTTTCCATAATCCCCCAAGGCAAAATACCAAACCAAACTCTGCTTGCTGTGCTCTACCCATATTCAGGAAGTCCTTCTTCTCCTTCTTTTTAAAAAATTTTTAAAATGTTTATTTATTTTTGAGAGACAGGGGGGAGACACAGAATTCAAAGCAGACCCCAGGCTCCGAGCCATCAGCACAGAGCCTGATGCAGGACTCGAACCCACGAACCATGAGATCATGACCTGAGCCGAAGTCAGATGCTTAAGTGACTGAGCCCTTTAATTTTTTTTTTAAAATTTTTTAATGTTTATTTATTTTTGAGAGACAGAGACAGAGCGTAAGCAGGGGAGGGGCAGAGAGAGAGAGGGAGACAGAATCCGAAGCAGGCTCCAGGCTCATGGTTGTCAGCACAGAGCTGGATGTGGGGCTCGAACTCACAAGCTGTGAAATCATAACCTGAGCTGAAGGTGGACGCTCAACAGACTGAGCCCCCCAGGTGCCCCTGGAAGTCCCTCTTCTAACTAAACCTTCACACAGGCTATTTCCCCTGCTCGAAGTGTCCCTCACCTTCTCTGCTGACCCTAGGCTCTCAACACTTCGAAACAAAATTGAACACAATATTTACATCTTCACTCTCTCCTTTCACCCTATACAATGACAGTATAAGAATAATAATTTTTAAAAGGACATACACCAGCGAGGATAGATAATAGGAAAGAAAACGATGGGTGATTAGACAGCAACAATTTTGGAAGATGGGTAAGTGGTAACTGATGTAGGGGGGTGTGAGGGGAGCCTGAAGGTTGCCTATAGAGACTGAGAAACTGATAAGCCATCTGACAGTGCAGAGCCCTGGAAAGGGTCAGGGGTTGAAAATGCCAGATATTTCTGATGGCATGTGTGCAGGGTGAGGCTGAAAACAGGAGAATTGGTTTAAGGTTTGTAGAAGGACTGGATCCCCAGAAATGTCCCCATCTGTGCTGCGCACCTCTTCATCCCAACAGAAGGCGGGGGCTCTGGACATGAGAGTACAAGCAATCTGAGAAGGACAGTAAGAGGGTGGGGGCGCCTGGGGGGCTCAGTCGGTTAAGCGTCCGACCTCAGCTCAGGTCATGATCTCGCAGTTCACAAGTCTGAGCCCCGCCATCGGTCTCTGTGCTGACAGCTGGAAGCCTGGAGCCTGCTTCGGATTCTGTGTCTCCCTCTCTCTCTGCCTCTCCCCAACTCATGCTCTCTCTGTCAAAAATAAATAAAACTTGAAAAAAAATTAAAAAATAAGGAAAAGAAAATAAATAAAAGAAGAGGGTAATACAGAGGAATGAGCCATGAGACCCTCAGCCCCCTTCCATGCTTATACCTCCAAAGCAGAATATTGCAAGAGTCCTCTCTTGGCAAGATGATCAGCCAAAGGGAAGAGACCTATAGATACTGTCAGGGAGTCTTGAAGCAAATAGCAAATATCTGTTTGCTCTCATCTCATGTGTGTGTACGCCTGTTTGCAACTCTCATGTGAAATATCCATGTACAGTCAGAGATTGCCAGACATTTGAAGAAAACCAGAAAAATAGAGATTCAAACTGGCAGAACAAAGGAAATCAGAGAAACAAAGCAGGTAAGCTAAGAAAATTAACAATAGTATTCATAGAGCGGTAGTTCTCAGACTTGGTTGCACATTAGAATCAACTGAGATCTTTTATTATTTTTTTTTAAGTTTATTTATTTATTTTTGAGGGAGGGTGAGTTGGGGAGGGGCAGAGAGAGAGAATCCCAAGCTGGCTCTGCACCACCAGCCAGCGTGGAGTCCGACGTAGGACTCTAACCCACGAACTGTGAGATCATGACCTGCGCCAAAATCAAGAGCGGGACGCTCAGCCGACTGAGCCACCCAGGCATCCCCAACTGGACATCTTTAAAAAAAATTTTTTTAATGTTTACTTTTTGAGAGAGAGAGAGACAGACAGACAGACTGAGCACGAGCAGGGGAGGGGCAGAGAAAGGGAGACACAGAATCTGAAGCAGGCTCCAGGCTCTGAGCTGTCAGCACAGAGCCCAATGTGGGGCTCAAACTCACAGACCGTGAGATCATGACCTTAGCCGAAACTGGACGCTTAACTGACTGAGCCACCCAGGCACCCCTGGAGATCTTTTAAAGAAAAGTTGCCTCTCACAGACAACACACCAAACTAAATAAATCACAATCTCTGGAGGCAGGATGCAGGAATCCATATTTTTTCTAAGCTCCTCAGATTATTTCAAGATGGAGACAAATTTGAGAATTGCTATTACAGAGAGATGAGCACATTCTACATCTGTGAAGTCAGGAGACTTAACAAAAGGAACATGAAGCAAGAAGATATAACAATTATAAACATTTATACACCTAATAACAGACCTCAGAACATATAAAGCAAAAGTTGACAGAATTGAAGGAGAAATAGCTGTACAATAAGAGCTGGAAACTTCAATACCTCACTATCAATAATGGATGTAACCGTGAAACAGAAGATATATAAGGAAACAAAGGGCTTAACACAGTGAATTGACTAACTCTGTCAGACAAAGGCAGAACACCCTGTCCAGCAGCAAGAGCATACTTCTTAGGTGCACATGGGACAATTGCCAGGATAGGTGCTATGTTAGGCCACAAATTAAGTCTCAATAGATTTCAAAAGGTAGATATCAGGCGCCTGGGTGGCGCAGTCGGTTAAGCATCCGACTTCAGCCAGGTCACCATCTCGCGGTCCGTGAGTTCGAGCCCTGCGTCGGGCTCTGGGCTGATGGCTCAGAGCCTGGAGCCTGTTTCCGATTCTGTGTCTCCCTCTCTCTCTGCCCCTCCCCCGTTCATGCTCTGTCTCTCTCTGTCCCAAAAATAAATAAATGTTGAAAAAAAAAATTAAAAAAAAAAAAAAAAGGTAGATATCATACAAAGTATCTTCCCTGACCACGAGATGAAGTCAGAAATCAATAACAGAAGCAAAACTGAAAAACCCATAATTTTGGGAAAATGAGAGAATATGCTCTGAACCAATGGGTCAAATAAGAAATCACAAGAGAAGGGCACCTGGGTAGCTCAGTCGGTTAAGTGTCTGACTCTTGATTTTGGCTCAGGTCATGATCTCACAGATCAGGGGATCGAGGCCTGTGTTAGGCTCTGCACTCACAGCACAGAGCCTGCTTGGGATTCGCTTTCCTTCTGCTTCTCCACCATGCACACGTGTGCTCTCTCTCTCTCAAAATAAATAAATATTTTTTTAAAAAAAGGGGGGGCACCTGGGTGACTCAGTTGGTCAACTGTCCGACTTCAGCTCAGGCCATGATATTGCGGTTTGTGAGGTGAAGCCCTGCATTGGGCTCTGTGCTGACAGCTCAGAGCCTGGAGCCTGCTTCAGGTTCTGTGTCTCTCCCTCTCTCCACCCCTCCCATGCTCATGCTCTGTTTCTCTGTCTCTCAATAATAAATAAACGTTAAAAAAAAAATTAAAAAAAAAAAGAGGTCTTAAAAAAAAAGAGAAATCACAAGGGAAATTAGAAAATACCTAGAGACAAATGGAAATGAAAACAGAACATACGAAAATTTACAGGACTCAGCAAAAGCAGTGCTCAGAGGATATTTACATTTTAAAAAAGGTCACACGTTAACAATCTAACTTTACAACCTGAGAAACTAGAAAAAAATAGAACAAACTAAACCCAAAGCTAGCAAAAGGAAGGAAATGATAAAGATTACAGCAGAATTAATAGAGAATAGAAAAACAAAAAGAAAACCAATAAAACCCAAAATTGGTTCCTCAAAAAGATTAACAAAATTAAAAAGCCTTGGGGTGCCTGGCTGGCTCCACCGGTTCAGCATCTGACTCTTGATCTCTGGGGTCACGAATTCAAGCCCCATGTTGGGGTAGAGTTTACTTAAAAAAAAAAAAAAAAAAAAAAAAAAAAAGCAGGGTGCCTGGGTGGCTCAGTCGGTTTAAGCGTCCAACTCTCGATGTCAGCTCAGGTCATGATCTCACGGTTCATGGGTTTGAGCCCCACTCAGGCTTCACACGGACAGTGTGGAACCTGCTTGGGATTCTCTCTCTCTCAAAAGAAATAAACTTAAAAAAAGTACCTAGGATCAGATCATGTAGGGCCTTCTAGGCAATAAAAGGGTTGAACAGATTAAATTACTGGTAATAATTCTTCACTCACCTATAGTATGCAGCCCCCTCTTACCATGGCTTCATGATAAGCACAGGATGGTTCCTTATCTTTTGATTTGGAGTTGGACCATATGACTTGCTCTGGGAGGTGAAAAACAACAACAAATTGGTTAACCTAATGAGATGAACAAATTTCTAGAAACAAAACCTACCAAGACTGACAAAGTAGAAAGTTTGAGAGACCTGTAGCTAGGAAGGAGATTGAATCAGTAATCAAAATTTTAAAATCAAAGTAGAACAGATTGCTGGTTCCAAGAGGCAATGGGGGATGAGAAAAATGACTGAACTTCTTTTTTTGAGTTTAAATAAATTGAATAAAATTTTCTAAAAAGTAAAATACACATCACATGAAACTTGTCATTGTAACCATTTTTAAGTATACAATTCAGTGGCATTTAAGTACATTCACAGTGTTGTACCACCATCACCCCCATCTAGCTGTAGAGCTTTTTCATCATCTCAAATTGAAACTCTGTTCCCATTAAACAGTAACTCCCACCTTCCCTTCCCCACAGCCCCTGGTACCTTCTCTATTTCTGGTTTCTATGGATTTGCCTATGTTAGGGACCATTTAAGTGGAATCATACAAAATGTGTCTTATTGTATCTGGTTCATTTCGCTTAGCATAATGTTTTCAAGGTTCATCCACCTTGTAGCATATATCAAAATTTCCTTCCTTTTTAAAAGGCTGAATAATATTCCATTGGGTATATGTCACATTTTCTTTACCCATTCATCTGCTAAGGGACATTTGAGGTGTTCCCAATATCGGCGATTGCAAACAATGCTATTAAAACTGGTATGTAAATGTTTGAGTCCCTGCTTTCATTTCTTTTGGGAATAAACCCAGAAATGGGATTGCTGGTTTAACTTTTTGAGGAACTGCCATACTGTCTTCCACGGTGGCTGCACCATTTTACCTACCCACCAGCAATGCACAAAGTTGAGCATTAATTTTTACAAGTCCTCATCAAACAGCTATTGTGTCGGGAGGAATTCAGTAAAACAAAGTCCAGGTGAGAGAATGCAACCTGAACTATGCCTCCCCAAATGTTGGACTGCTGTACATTCAAGGTCAAGGTAACAAACAACATACCTATTGTTGGAAGGTAAAGATCAAAGATTAGGTAGGGGTGCCTGGGTGGCTCAGTTGGTTGAGTGACCGACTTCGGCTCAGGTCATGATCTCATGGTTTGTGAGTTCGAGCCCCGCGTCGGGTTCTGTGCTGATGGCTCAGAGCCTGGAGCCTGCTTCAGATTCAGTGTCTCCGTCTCTCTCTGCCCTAACCCACTCATGCTCTCTATCTCAGAAATAAATAAACATTAAAAAAATTAAAAAAAAAAAAAAACAGATCAAAGATTAGGTGACTGAGGTATATTAAAAACTTCCCAGGAAAGAGAGAACTGTCATGTCAGGGACATATGTAGTGCTTGAAAACTTCATGATCCTTAGGTAAAAAAAGACCTGAGAAATATCAGAGAAGGAACTAGATCAGGAATCCCCTCCCAATATTTTATTATAAAAAATTATAAAAGAATTTTGGAAGAATTATATGTATATATCTACCACCCAAATCCTACAACTAACCTTTGGCTAAATTTGTTTTCTCAGATATGCATCCCTCTATCCATTCATCAGTCCATCTTGTTTTTTGATACATCTCAAAGGAAGTTACAGATATCAATACACTTCATCCTAAACACTTTATCATGCACATAATTAACTGGAGTTCAATATTTACTTATGGTGGTCAGGTGAAATTTATATATAGTGAAATGTACAAATCAAATTACCATTTGATGATCTTTAAAACTACAGCTTTAGGGGCCCCTGGGTGGCTCAGTCAGTTGGGTGTCCAACCTCAGCTCAGGTCATGATCTCACGGTTTGTGGGTTCGAGCCCCGCGTTGGACTCTGTGCTGACAGGTCAGAGCCTGAAGCCTGCTTCAGATTCTATGTCTCCTTCTCTCTCTGCCCCTCCCCCACTTGTGCTTTGTATCTGTCAAAAATAAATACATTAAAAAAAAATTTTTTTTAATAAATAAAACTACAGCTTTATTGGGGTGCCTGGATGGCTCAGTCCATGGAGCATTCAACTCTTGATTTCAGGGTCGTGAGTTCAAGCCCCACATTGGGGGGTAGAGTTTACTTAAAAAAAAAAAAATTACAGCTTTATTGAGATATAATCTGCATTCCATAAAGTTCACCCCTGTAAAGCATATAGTTCAGTGTTGGTCTATTCACAAAGTTGTGCATCAGTCACCACTAATTCCAGGACATTTTCATCACCCCAAAAAGAAACCCCTATTCATCAGCAACTGTTCCCCATTCTTCCCTCCCTCCAGTCTCTGGCAACCACTAGCCTGTTCCGTCTCTGCCCATCCTGGGCATTTCGTATGAAAGGAGTCACACGTGGCCTTTGGGCTTAGCTTCTTCGTTCAGCATGTTTGCAAGGTTCACCCAAGTTGTCATCTGATGGGCTTTGACTTGCATAATGAGCAGGCTTTTTCATCTGCATTTTCTCAGAAAAGAGTCTCCTCAAATTCTCCAAGGGGTCTGGGACTCAACGAAGGAACAAGGAATCTCGGACGCTAGGGATACGTCTAGAGAACTGGAACACTAGTTTCAAAGTCCACCGCATCACAAATACTTGCAAGGATGGATTTGCCAGGAAGAACCCGCTTTTCTGACGAGGTAAGACCGTGAGGGCAACCGAGGGCATGCACAGGGCTTGTAGCCTTGCCAAAGAACCACCAAGGAAAGGGCTCCGGGACCTCCCAAAGGAAACGGCAGAGGACAGTCAACAGAATTGACAGCAAGGCTCCCTGGCCTTTAGAATTTCTAGGCCCAAGCAGCTTGCAAACAAAACCAGCAGAGGCTGGGAACACCTGGGTGGCTCAGTTGGTTAAGCATCTGACTCTTGATTTCGGCTCAGGTCGTGATCTCACTGTTCATGAGTTCGAGTCCTGCATCAGGCCTGCTTGGGATATTCTCTCACTCTCTCAAAAATTCCTCTGGGGAGGCTGGGGTAGCCTTAGTCCCTCCCATGAAGGAAAATACCCTACAGAACAAGAGAGGAGGGAGGGAGGTAGCCGGAAAATGCAGAGCTATGCAAGCCAAGCCCATCTTTGTTCAAGAAAATAGGATATAAATCTGCCCTCAAAACCTTCATCCCATTTCTAGTCTTTTTTTGCTCCCTTATGATCCTCCAGAAACAAATTCGGGAAATCAAAGCCTAGTCTGAGCCTTCCGTACCTCTAGTCAGGACAAAAGGGCTAGCATGGCTTAGCCACACTCCTGAGAGATGGAGCGTCTGGCAAGCGAGACTCAGTGGCTGGAGAGCTGGGGTCCCTGCGCCAGGACTCCCAAAATAGAAAACACGAGCCTTGCTGCTGAGAACAGTGTAATTAAAGAAGTAACGTTATTTTTAAAAATAAAAGATCTGAAGCAAACAACGTAGAGTGATAAAATTTAACAGAGTTGAATAGTGGATACACAGGTGTTTCCCCTACTTAATGTGTGATTTAAAGATTTTGTTTTAACACCATCTACGAAGAAATGAACAGACATGTCACATTCGTTGAGTCAAGTTTATTAAATTACCATGTGCTCAGCACTGTCCTAGGCAGGAACATGAGAAAAATTACAAAACAAGGTTTCAACAAGGGAAAAATATACTCTGCACTGTATTAATTTGCAATCATTTCCATGTTGCTTTCCAAAGAGTTCTTAGATTGTTTTGTAGTGTGTGGTCCCCTCTTTCTCCATGTTCCCCTAAAGCTTCTAGCTCTGTCAAACAATGTGCCACTATGACCATCCCCTGAAGAAGAGGATGGACAGGAAGAGCGGCTTCCTGCTGATGAGGCAGTTAGAGAATGGTCATGGAGTCCCATGGTAGGGAGACATGCCAAGAGGGAAACTGTCAACCCCGAGGGCTCAGGGCGCTCACAGTGATTCACACGAAGGCCAGACTTGGGGAAGCCATGGAGAGGGCCCGGAGGCCCTCACTTACCCCCTCCCCAGGGGATGTGCTTAAAGTGCTAACATAGTAAGAAAATGATGCATAGCTACATGCAGTCTTGGGTGCCCCTAGACTTCCCATCTCCCTCTTCTCCTCCTGACTTGTGCTAATAGCAGGCACTGGCACCACCGGGGGCCAGGTCAAGGGGGAAGTTTAGTGCCCAGTGAAGAAATGGGAGAAGGTCCAACGTATAATCTATGATGCCCAAGAGGAGGCACAGACAGAGAAGGGCAGAGACGTATGCGGCAAAAGGGACTGGTTTGTGCTTGGCCCTGCCCCTTGGGCCAGGGGTTGGTTCCTGTGCAAAGGGCAGTTTGGTTCCAGGTAGCTCTCCGGGTCCTAAATTTTCCCTGAGGGAACAAAGCTGCATAGCATGGGAAGGAAACTGAAGACATGCTGGGCCCTCCCTCTCCCCCACCCGGACATGCCCCCATGCCTGCCGTACAAAGCGCTAAGGGTGCTGGCGTGTGACCCAGGGCAGGCCCAGACCACACTCGGCAGGCCCATGCCACAGTAGATGCTGGATGACCTGCAAACACACCTGGGTAAGAGCTCCACCCGCCTGCGCACAAGCATCGGTGAAAGCCCCCAACCTGAGTTAGAACAAGGGGCTAAGGTCCAGCTGGTGGCTCTGCCAAGGAGATCTGTGCCCCTGAGGGCCAGATCCCAGTGAAAGGTGTCACGTGGATGACAGAGGGCACCCCAGCCAAAAGGGCGAACAAAAGTAGTAGTGGCACGACCTGGCCACAGAGCCAGGCAGAGGCTGCCTTGGAGGAGGAGGGGGGGGCCCAGGAGCCAAGAGGGCACCCCCTGCCCCCAATTTCGCCCGGCTCAGAGCCAGATCTCATCACTGCTCACACTGGACACTCGATAGATATAGCCCAGCATTGGGAGCCGGATGAAACCTGCAAGGTCAAAGATGCCGTGAGTCTCAGTAAGCATCACTGCCTGGAAGCTTGGAGACCCAGAGGCCTCTGGCATAAGCACAAGGGCTGGGGAGGAGAGGAGGGGGGCCGTGGGCCCATGCCCCTGTACCTCGGCTGGTAAGGAGGCCACCAGGCTCCGGGTCCAGCAGCTCTGGCCGGCTGCTGTTCTGAGCCATCTGCCGGTCTGCTGGTTTCTCTGTTGGGTGACAAACGGGGTGGTGCCCGCAATGAGGAGTGTGCCTGACAAGGCCTAGCCCCTCCTAGTACCAGGGTCTCTCTTTTCCTCAGAAGCACCTCTGAAGATAAAGCGGGGACAAACAAAGGGTGTACCTCTGGAATCCGGAGTGAGGTCGTTGAGCTGAAGGTTGGACGGGAGGGACATGTTCTCCCGTGGCAGGCGCACGTTGTTGAGTTTTAAGTTGTTGGAGTCACTACAGGGTGGACAGAGCCCGGGATATGCCCTGGCTCCAGCAGGCACAGATTCCTGCTCGGGGGCCCATTCCAGAACTAGAGAGACCCCGGGTTTCCAACCGTCCCCGTGCCGCATCTCAGTTCAGCTCAGCCAGCCAGCCCCAGGAAGAGTTACCTAGAGATCAGAGATGGGCGCCGGGAGGGACCTGGGGAGAAAGAAACCACACACTTTCTCAGGGTGCCCACTCACTCTGGGCTCTTCCCCGATGCCCTTTCAGACCCAGGACCCCCAGGACCCCCAGGCAAGGATCTCTCCAAAGCCCAGCCTCTGGGACAGACCGGGTTCCCAGCGCTCAGCCCCGAGTTGCATCTGCTTTTACCCACGGCCACGCTCCCGGAGACCCTTTCTGCCACTCGTCAGAGGGGACTTGCTCTGCCCCACAAGCTGCCCTTGCTGCTCCTCCTTCTCCCTGCCCCTCAGCCACCCTCTCTCTGCCCAGCCCCCTCCCCCTCCTGGCTCTGGGCCTACCTTTGGTCTTCTTCTCTTTCCTGCAGACCAGGCAGGCCACCAAGGTGCTGAACCCCGCCAGTGTGCCCAGGGCAAGCCCTCCCGCCACAACGATGCCCAGCAGCGGCACTTCCACTCGGGTGGCCAGGAGCCCTGCAAGTTGTCCTCTGGTTAGGTTCTAAGTGGGCGGGGTCCCCAACTCTGAGACGCTACAGGTGCCACTCGGTGCTCCTTGCCCAAGGTGGGCGGCACGGCTCGTTCACGAGACTCACCCGAAGGGCAACTAGTCGTCCCGTTTATGTACCGTGATCCCGCACCCACCTGAGGCTTTGCCGGGCCAGGCGCTGGCAGTGCTCACCCGGGGCCGGAAGCGAGGCGCTGGTGACACCCACGTCATTGGCGGCCACCACGGACAGGTTGTGCGCCAGGCTGCGGAGCTGCAGCTGCACTGTGTGGTTAGTGAGCCAGGGGTAGCTCTGGGCATCCAGCACCAGGAAGTCGGAGGCGTTGACAGTCACCGGCCCATCCTGGTCGATCCAGGTCACGTTGGCAGGTGGGTTGGCACGCACCAGGGCAAAAAGGACAACCAGGAGGCCTGGGCCCTGAGCTTCCTGGTACTTGGCCCCAACCTGGGCAATCTCTGGTTTAACTGGTACAAAGCAGAAACCAACATATTCTCACCACACCTCTCGTACTCCTTGCCCACTCTTCCCAAACCCAGGAGCGAGCTGGGGGCCTCGACCTCCCCTTTAAAAGGCTCTGGGAAACAGGATGGTGGGGTCTCCCTGAGAGGCAGCACGTCATAGTGACCAGCAGTAGAAACACAAGAACCAAGCTGCCTGCATTTGAATCCTGGCTCTGCTTATGAGCGGTAGGACTTAACAATCTGTGGCTCAGTTTTCTCACTTGTGAAAAACGGGGATAACAGTAACAATCACCTCATAGGATTATCCTGAGGATGATGTGAGTTCAAATCTGCAAAGTACGTTTTGTTAAATGCTCTATCAGACCACCTGCCTGGTGGCTGCTGGGGGTCCCAGGGCAGAGAACCTCTCTCCTTGCCCATCTCAGAGGCACTCACATTGCACATTGAGGATGACCGAGGCATTGGCTGACCGGCCACTACCCGGGTCCTGCAAGGAGCAGTTGAGCTCATGCTGGGCCCTCTGGGCAGTAACAGTGAAGGTGCTGGTGCCTCCAGAGAAGGCCTCACCGCCCACGCTCAGCAGTCTTGAGGTGCTGGCCTCCTGCAGTTGTCCATCCAAGTACCAGGCCAGTCGGGGGGTCCCAGGCCCCCCTGCCACCCGGCAGGTGAAGGCGTGGCGTTCGTTTTCTCGAAGTGCCCGCTCGGCCCAGGTCTGACCGTCAATTTGTGGTGCCAATTCCCCCCAACCTGGAACACAGCAGGGAGTTGTGGGGAGAGCTGGGAGAAGGTCGGTACTGGGGTACTGGCCTGTGACCAGCACGACATCCGCTTACAGAGGGGCAGAGGACCAGGGACCAGTGCACTTGGTTAGGTTCGCTCACCAGGAATTGGCTGGACCCTGGGTAGGTGGGTGAGGGGAAGCCAGCTCTGGTCCCTGTGGCCTGAAGCGGGTTCCCAAACCCAAGGTGCAGACAAAGAGGGGAAAGAGGGGGGTTGCCCCCAGAAGTGCTCGGCCAAGGGGTAAACGGGGGTGTACCTGAGCTCAGAAGGGCTGGCAGGAGCAGCAGTGTATGCGGGAGGGCAGCTGGGCCTGGGGGCAGCGCCATGGTGGCTCAGGCCTGGGCCCCAGGCTGCCGAGAGAAGGGGGCGGGCCTCGACGTTAGCCAGGTGACCGCACGCAGGCTCGGTAATTCCTCCGGGAATTTAATCTCCAGAAACAAAAATAAACCGTGCACCAACACACAAATAGAGCCTGACCCGCAGCGGCGAAGACGAGGACGACAACAGCCCAGCGCCAAGGCCAGAGCCGACCCAGGGGCTACCAACCCACCTTGCGGGCTCAGAACCCGGCGCCGCCCCCAAGGCACAATCAAGCGCCGGCTCGCGGACGCAGAAACCGCGCGCAACCGCGCATCCCGCACTGGGCGGCTCGCGCGCACGCGCACAGGCGGACACGCGGCGCAGTGCCCCTCCCCCAAGGGGACCGTCCCCCGGACCCCTCTCCCCCAGTCCCCTTTACCCTCCCTTCCGTGGCCCCACGCCCCCTTTACCACCCTCCGGGGACCAGGCGGAAGTGGGCCGGCACGGCGGGGGTCCGGGCGGCGGGGGTCGCACGACAGCTCCGCCCCGCCGCCCCAGGCGGCTCACCTGGCGCCCTCCCCACGCTCCTTCCGAGCGACTGCTCCTGTCTGCGGGGCGCTGCAGTCCGCGGCGGGGCCGGGCGGGGCCAGGCGGGGCCAATCAACGCCCGAGCACGCCCACCCGCCCCCTCCCCTTCCCGCCCCGCCCCGCCCAGCTCTCCGGACCCCGGCCGACCACGAAGAGCCCTGCCGCTGCGGGGCCGGCGGCTGGACGCAGACACGGACGCGAGTGGGAGAGAGCCGGCAGCTTTATTGGATCGTCTCAGCGGCCGTTGCGGGGCGCGCGCAGCTGCCGCATCATGTCGGCCAGCATGCGGTTGCACAGCGCGGCATAGGGGTTGAGCAGCACCAGCTGGCGCCGCGCGAACGGGCTGCCCAGCCGCGCCGCCCGCTCGAAGTCCCTGCGGGCGTCGTCGTCCCGGCCCTGCAGCCGCGCCAGGAGCCCGCGCTGCACGAAGCCCTGGCGGGCGGCGCGACCCCGGCCGCCGCTCAGCGCCACAGCGCGTTCCAGGTCCTCCAGGGCGCCTGCGGGACGGAAGGCGGTCAGAACCGAGGCCCCGGGGCAGGGCCACCCGACACCCGCCTGCCCTTGCTCCTCGTCACACGTGCACACTGGAGGAGTTGGCCACACTTGCCCCGGGCCGCACAGCCAGTTTAGTGACAGAGCTGAGACTGTGGTCCCTATCACCTTTCACCATCGAATACACCAAAACGTGAAGGGTGCTGGGACGATTTTGAATGGTCACTATGGTAATGAATCTGGCCTTGTCCAGCAGAAGCAGGCCGTTTTTTCCAGTCATAGGCTATTAAGTATCTACCACGTGCCAAGTGGCTGACTCTGAATCTCAAAGTCCAAATTTATCATGTACTGACAACCATTTCTTACAAGTATAATAAAATCCATTTCTCTTTCTTTTCCTTTTGAAGGCATTCCTCTCCCCTTATTCAGTGTGTGCTTTAAAACAACTTTTCCCTGGGGCACTTGGGTGCTTCAGCAGGTTAAGCAGCCGGTTTGGGCTCAGGTCATGATCTCATGGTTCATGAGTTCGAGCCCAAGTGGGCTCTGTGCTGTCAGCCCCGAGTGCTTGAGGTCCAACTCTCTCTCTGCCCCTCTCGCGCGCTGTCTCTCAAAAGTAAATACACAGGGGCGCCTGGGTGGCTCAGTCGGTTAAGCGGCCGACTTCGGCTCAGGTCATGATCTCGCGGTCCGTGAGTTCGAGCCCCGCGTCGGGCTCTGTACGGACAGCTCAGAGCCTGGAGCCTGCTTCAGATTCTGTGTCTCCCTCTCTCTGACCCTCCCCGTTCATGCTCTGTCTCTCTCTGTCTCAAAAATAAATAAACGTTACAAAAATTAAAAAAAAAAAAGTAAATACACGTTAAAAAACGTATGTTTAAAACGGCTTCTCCCTCACCTGTTCTCCCTGCTGACTGCCTTTCCTCATTCTTTGTCTCCATGATCTTCCTTATTTTCTATCTATTTTCATTAAAGGAGGTCTTGGAGGGGCGCCTGGGTGGCGCAGTCGGTTGAGCGTCCGACTTCAGCCAGGTCACGATCTCGCAGTCCGTGAGTTCGAGCCCCGCGTCAGGCTCTGGGCTGATGGCTCAGAGCCTGGAGCCTGTTTCCGATTCTGTGTCTCCCTCTCTCTCTGCCCCTCCCCCGTTCATGCTCTGTCTCTCTCTGTCCCAAAAATAAATAAACGTTGAAAAAAAAAATTAAAAAAAAAATAATAAAGGAGGTCTTGGAGTCAGGGCTGGCCCCGCACACTGTCATGTCTATCCTTCTCATGAAATACTCGGATTGGGCATTAAACTCTGAATTCAAACTCAGGCAGCTGTTGGTATTTTAGGGCCCAGCTGCAGTTTTTCTGGGCTCTGCCCAGGTCACTCATGCTCTCTAGTCTAAAGAGCTGTCAGGGCGCGTGAGAAGCTCCAGCATCACCCTACAGAGAGGCTGATCTCTGTCCAGCCTCTGTGTGTTTTGATCCCAGAACCCAGCAAGGGCTAGGCTGCCCAGGCCACCCAGATGGTTAAGAAGCTCTCTGATCAGGGCGCCTGGGTGGCTCAGTCAGTTAAGCATCCGACTTCGGCTCAGGTCATGATCTCACAGTTCGTGGGTTCGAGCCCTGCATCAGGCTCTGTGCTGACAGCTCGGAGCCTGGAGCCTGCTTCGGATTCTGTGTCTCCCTCTCTCTGTGCCCCATGCCCGCTCATGCTCTGTCTCTCTCTCCCTCAAGAATAAATAAAACATTAAAAAAAAAAAAAAAAAAAAAGAAGCTCTCTGATCACAGAAGCTCTCTGATCATAGCGTTTCTGGGTTTCCCTTGGAGGAGCCGGTCTGGAGGAATGGAAAGCCTTTTCCAGGCAGCATCACCTCTGTTCCTCTCTGGGCTTTTTATCTGCAGACTGTCCTCAGCTGCTTTTACAGCCCCACTCAGCCCCCTCCTGCCAAAGCCAGGCAACCAAGCCTGGAGAAGGGGTCCTTGGTTCCCCCCACTGTTCCCAGAATGTTCAAAACCCTTCAGGCTGGCTTTCCTGGCTGCAGGAGCACCTCAACCACCGTGACGGTTTTCTGTGGTTTACACCTGCAGTCTGCCCTCCGGTCTCCAGCATGGCCTTCTCTGTCCCATTGTCCCCCTTCCAGTTAGAGTTGCCCAAGGGCAGCAGGTTCAATCCTGTCACTCCCCAGTTAAAATCCTTTTAATGATTCCCCATGTGTTCAAGACACAGTCCAACCTGCCTAACGTTGCCATCAGGCCCCTGTTTACTTCTCCAGGCTCTACTCCACCCTCCCACCACTCCCCATTCCAGCCAGCCTGGAGTTCTGAAGTTCTCTGTACTTTTCCATGCCTTCTGGGTCTCTACCTGCCTGTACCTTCTCCCACTTCCTCTCCTCCATCCAGCTGCAGCCTATTCATCCTTTCAAACTCACCCCTGGCGGCGGGGGGTGGGGGGGGAGGGGTGGGGGGCAGACACTGTGCTGAACCTTCTCAGCTTGTCTCATGGTTGTGGGTCTGTCCCACCCCTCGGACCGTGAGCTTCTTGAGAAGCAGTAGCACAGGGGCATTAAGAGCACAGACCTTGGAGCCCCACCACCTGCTTCAAACCCCAATTCTGCTACAGTCTTCTTCTATAAAAGGGAGGTACCAATAGCGCACACCTTTGGGGGTTGTTGTGAAGTTACATGGAAAGTGCCGGACACCCAGCACGGAGTAGGAGTAGTTCCTATGGGTGGTCTATCTCTCCTCTTTGTCCTAGCCCACCGCTACAACAGTAGACTCTCATTAAATGTTTGTTACATAAACGAATGGAATGCGATCTCTTTGACCTTCCCAATAGCCCCCAGAGACTAGCAGGGCCCATGGGACAGCTCTTATAGGTAAGAACATAGGTTCCAGAACAGTCCCAGCCTCCAGGCCCCAGTCCCACAACCACTCCGTCTCTGGTCTGTGGACCCCAGGGTCCCTTCTGTGGAAGTTCCAGGGCATCTCCCCTCACCTGCCACATCTCCTTGGAGTCGGCGGGCCTGGGCTCGGTTGTTGTAGGCGGAGGCCCGCTCAGGCAGCAGGCTGATGGCTTGGCCAAACCTCTCCAGGGCCGTGCCGAGGTCGCCAGCCTCCGCTGCCATCACCCCTTGCAGCTCCAGGGCCTTGGATTGCTCCAACTGTGCTCGAGGGAAAGCTCCATCTGTGTCAGGAAGGGAACAGGGAAGGGACAGGTGTGCAGCTGCGAGCAAGAAGCAAAAGCCAGCTTGAGCTTTGGAAAGCCGGGACCTGAGCCGGAGGGGTTGGCTGGGACGTAGGATTGGCTCAGGGCTTGGCTGGGAACGGTGTGGAACCCTGAATGCCTGCTGAGGCTGTGCCTGTCGAGGTCAGAAACGTTGAGTAGAGCCCCTCCCCACCCCTTCCATCCTGTGGGGAGTGAAATGCCCCTGTTATGACAAAGATGTGAAAGTTTAGCACCTCCCCGCGGCCCCAGTACAGTTGAGCTTGGATTCCGGGGTGAACTAAGTGGTGAGGGAAGGTCAGAGGTGTGAGGGCTGAAGGACAAATCCTGGCTTTCTCCTTTTGGCGGAGAAACTCTTGCCGAGCCCCCAACCTGTGCACCAACGATCAGTAGACCTCTGATTCCAACCTCAACCGTCATTCAAGGGTCACGGAACAAGGGGCCTTGTGAGACTACCATCCTCTGCCACCAGAGGAACACTGCCGTCCAAAGTCGAACTCACCTTCGTCTACTTCTTCCTTCTCCACTTCGTCTCCCACGTCCAACCCAACAAGGTCTCCGAATGGGGTGTCAGGGTTGAAGATGGCCTGCAGCACTGCCTGATCATTGGGAGTCCCCATGGTGCTGGTGCCCCACTCCCAACTCCGAAGTGACTCAGGATAGAAGGGGAGGGGGGAAGGGGGCTGAGCCTTACAGCCAGCTCATCTGGAGGGCAGAGGTTCTGTTTGAGGTCCATCCCCCATGAGGAGTGTCTTGCAATCCTTGGCTGTAACGTAAACCCAACCTCATTTGGCCTGGGGTTAGCAACTCTGGCTTGGCAAAATATTTAAAAATGTTTCTTAACTCCCTACCCCAGTCCTAGGGGGAACGAACAGAGTAAATAAATCCAATTTCTGCCTTAAGGTGGAGCGAGAGGGGATGCTTCCTGAAATGCCTTCATTTTATTACATTCATAGATTGGGAGGAAGTCATTAGAAGCCCTCTTGATCGCCCCGTGGCTTTAAAAAAAAAAAAAAAAAAAAGAGGGGCTATGCAGGAGATAAAGCTCTTCCGTTGTCCTCTTTATGCCCTCGTCATACCCAGGATTAATTAGGTCCCGAACACACACCATTGATGAGGGAGGGAAGAAAACACCGTTCAGGGTCAGTGTGGGGTGGGGCCTGGTGCCCGGAGGAAGGCGAGGCAGAGAGATTCAAGGATTCCACCTTAAAAGAAAGGACTGTGGAAGGTACTTTGCAGTCAGGTCACAGGCCACTAGCTGCTCCTGTTCCTCCACCCCACCCAAAGCCAAAAGAAAGTTTGATCGTGTGCAGCAATAAACTTGACATGTTTATTAATTAAACTATCACTTAAATAAAAAAAAGTGCATAGAAAATAAACATGTTTAAAAACTCCTTTTTTTTTTTTACAACTATGTACACTTTTTACTTTTACATTCAGTCTTTCGTAGAGAGCTTTCAGCATTATTATTTTTTGAACTATTAAAGTATTTTCCTTCATCCCTGTCACAGGGAGTTAACACTGATGGACTTTAGACACATTTTTTTCCTTTTTTTTTTTTTTTTCTCTTTTTCTCTAACCAGAAGCTTGGAAGAACACAAGGAAAAAAACCAAAAGATCTGTTATACATGATAAAGTTGTCAAGAAATGTCTTATTTCTAGAAAAGAAGCTTGTCATCTGTTGAGCTTTTGAAACAATTATTCAACTACCTGTATTTACTAAAGAGACTGTTAAAAGTTCAATAAAAGAAACACCACAAATCTATTTTCTTGGTTGAAAGACAGAACTAGAGTACCTCGGAACAAGATACCAGGAAAGCACAGAACACAATTTTCCCCTAAATGCAGGTGGTAACCCCAACATTCATAACCAAAAATAGAGAAACGAGGAGTACAGGTACTGACTGGCAACATTCATGGGCAGAAAAAATCCAGGTGACACCATTTCTGCATTTCTCTCTGATCCTAGGAATGGGTCGTTCCCCGGTCCCTTTATGGTTTGGGTCTCCCCCCCGGTTTCGGAGGATCAGAGGAGCGCCAGACTGACACTTTCCTGCCACTACTATAGCAACTGTAACACAATCCTTATCTATAGTGTTAAGAGAATTAAAAGCCATGGACTGAACTAGGCTTTGTTACATGGTGCAATACTATATTAGTTCCTATATATATCATATTTATATTTATTTGAAAACCAAAACAAAAAAAGTTGCAAGTTTTCAGAGTGTGAGACTTGACTGGTATTCATGATTCGGCACAAAACCATCTGCTCGATAACCTTGTATTGCTTTAAAATGAAGGAAATGCAACATAAAATTACACCCAGCCCTTTGCAATGACCCGCTTTTCCTTTAAAAAGAAAAAAAAAAAAAAAACCAAAAAAAAAAACCAAAACCAAGAAAAACCCAAACTCGATTTCTAGTTAAAAAAAAAGAAAAATCCCAAATCAAACTTAAAAGTTAACATCTGACAAGGTTTTGACCTTTAGTATTTTCAGATATTTGATTGAACGTCAGTCCTTTAGAAAGATACATTCATTAAAAGATTTTTTTTGTTTTTTGTTTTTTGTGTTTTTTTTTTGTTTTTTATTTTGTTTTTATGTTGTTGTTGTTGTATTTTTTAAATCAAGGGAGCTGCATGGTGCTCACTGCGTTGGCCGGGGAGGGGAGGGGTGGGGTGAGGTGGGGTGGGGGGGCCGGGAGGGGGTTGACAGAGGCAAGCGGGGTGGCGGACCGTATCCCGGCAAAGGAGTCTGGTTGAAATCTTACATCTAGCTGCCAGGGCTTCCCCCTGAATTCTGGTGATTGGTCTAAAACCAGGAGGGCTGTGCTGGAGGTGGTGGACGGTAACAGAGGGAGCCAGGGGACCAAGTTCCGGCCATAGGGTCAGCGCCATGCAGCTGTTCTGGTCACACAGTTGTCACTGGCCACCAGGAAATGCAGCCACAACAGGTTCTAGCAGCAAAGCTGTAAGGGAGCTGGCTCTCTCACTGAGAACTGACCAGGCTTGCAGCTGTGTTACTCCTTAGGGATTCGGGATGCCCCTTGGGGGGTTCCTGGGAATGACTCACCACAGTTCCTCGGTCTGCACTTTTGTGCGGAGATTCCCTTGGTCACTTTCAAAACAAACTCGGGTGTTTTTGGAGACAGATAGGCCGTGTTTTGTTTTTGTTTTGCCTTCTTTCCCTCTTGTAGGGAAACCTTAGCTTATTCCCCAAGTTGCTGGCAGGTATGCTGAATTTTGGCAATGGACTCGAGGCTGAGCTAGAAGAGGAATTACTCGTTTCTATGGTTGACGGGGAGTGAAAAGGCAAGGCAAACCATCTGCAGCTGGCAAGAGAAGGAAAGATGTGGTCCCTCCTCTGGCCTCAGGGTTTGGGATTGGTAGAAAGAGAACGAGGAGGGGGCTCACAGTACAGCATGGCCTAGCAGGGCAGTGACTAGGTCTATTTAGCTGAGTCTCCCCCAACCCCTGACTGGCCTTTGGGTCTTTCTCAAGGTGAATTCACGACCCATCAGTGCATTAATCGTTTCAGTAACAAATGCAGCTTAAGGTTTTTTTTTTTTTTTTCTTAAAAAAAAAAAGAAAAAAGAAAAAAAAGGAGTAAAAGGATTTACAAAAAAACCTCACACAGTGCAATAATAAAGGAAACCAGACACTAGTGGGACCCCTAGGGCCACCGTATCTTGTTCACGGGCAAAGGAGGAAGGGAGGCGAGGTCTGGGTAGAGTGTTTTTCCCCAGTCCCCTGCTGGCACTTCTCCATGATGACAAGGAAGTCTCTGCCATCCTGGCCACAGTGCTGGGCTCCCTGCATGACAGCGAACACAGTGACAATGTTCCAGCAAAGCCACCAGACACAGTTCTTAAGGTCACGGAAGAACAGGAAGCCCAGGGTGGAAGGCACAGCAGAGCCATGAGTCCTGGGGCAGAGAACGCAGGGCTGGGTCGTATTGCTTTGCTAGACTTCCATAGGAATGGGCTTCTCGTGGGAGAAAAGGGCGCCCTGCCCTCTACTGGACCGCACTGCTCTGAAACCCAGTGGCCGACAGAGGCAGAGAAAAATCTGCTTTATCGTGAGTGGTCAGACTGTGCTTCAGTTTCAACGGGCTGCCCCGAAAGAGGGCACAGGGGGATCCGTGGGTTCTTTGCAGGTATGAGGACCTGGCGGGCAGACGGAAAGGGAACGAGGTGACCGATGAGGCAGATGGTGATGGAAAATGTCAGGTTGCCATTCAACTTGGTTGCTATCTCTGAAGTAGGGAAAGACGAGGGAAATGTAGATCACACCTCTCGCCGCTCTGAGCTGGTCCCAGAAAGGAGAGAGCGAGTGCAGGAAAGAAGGGGGGCACTGCTGTGTCAGGATACTCCCACAGCCTTTTGAGGAGCTTCAACACGGGAAGGAGGGGAGTGGCCCAATGGAGTTGGGTGACCTTCCTCTTCCATTTATTGTCAAAGAGCAAACCCAGGACACGTTTATGTCAACAGGGCACAAACAAGCTACACATTAAACAACAAAAGTACACCTTCCAGGGGGAAGTTGGGCAGGAAAAACCAGACTTTGTGTGTACAGCTGAATATTTTCTCTAACTTCATCCTATGAAAATAAAAAATTATTAAAAACCGATCTTCTTTTAAATTAGGATAATACCGCGGTTTAAAAAATAGCCTTGTCGTAAGTGCTTCTCCCTATGAAGTGCTTCTCATAGAAAAATATACAAAATATATTTACATTTATAAAACCTTAAATAGTAAACTGTAAACAGAACAGAGTAAAATCCAATGACTTAATTTAACAGGTTCAGGACACCGTCTTGGGGAAAGGAAGAGAAGAAACATTTGATGCTGTTTTGACCACATCCTAAGGAGTAATCAGGGCAGTAGTGTCATTTAATTTACTTAATCTGTGGATTTTGCGCAGGTGGCAGAGGTCCCTCGATACAAGGTGGTCTAGTCCCCAAGTTTTGGGCCTTGAAATCTGATTAGTGTTCTGCCTTCAACTGGACACCGACCGTTTAAAAATGAAGTCTTCCTATGTCTCAACAAGGGGAAAATAAAGTCACCATGTCCTAGGAAGGGGGCCCAGGGGTTTGTCCTGGTTGTGATACTCTGGTTGTTGCATGATTCAGATCCTATGTAAATAATCTTTTTCCTCTTCTAAAAAATCATGCTACATATATTTCTTTAAAACTCTCAGCGGAGCCTTATGAAAACTCCGAATTCTGTCTGGTTACGGCCAGTGGCTCCTGTCCACTTCCCCACTGGGAGTGCTTACAGGCTCAGGGATAGGTTCGTAGGCACGTACTATGCCCAACAGGGGGTGTCCTTGAGCAGGGAGTCACTCCTCTCTACCACCCAGAAAGATCGGGAAAGCGGTGGGATGAGACCGGGGAACCGAAGAAAGTGGAGTGAGGAGAAGGAATGAGAGGGAAGCCACTCCCATCGTCAAGAAAGGTCATTGGCTGAGATAAGGCTCATGGGGGGAACGCTCCCACTTAAAGCCCACAGGCTCAATGTTTGGTGATTAATTGGCACAACCCCAAGACAGCCTTTTGACACCAAAGGTGCTAAGAATCCTGTCTCCCAACCAGAAGTGAACTCTCAAGCGGGAGGGTAGGAGGGAAAACCACCAGACCTTCTCTGTTTGTTCAACAGATGGCTACAGGCTGGGCCCGGCTGGCACACTATCAGGCATCCGACCGACTCTATTATTTGGGGCCCTGCCTGACCCCTCACGTATAGTGCT